CATCAGCTGAGAACACAAACTTAGTGGTGGAGTAATGGCCTTATCTACATTTGACTTCCATGTCTCACCAAAAAAAAATCTTTGCTCCAGGCCATTTTCTAGGCACAAGAAAAGAAATTTCTAAGGCAGAAAAAAAATCTATGGTAATGCTTGAAATCTAAGAGATTTAGGAATAAAACATGTTTGTAACTGCCAAATGTTAGCTCCCCTCAAGTGAAGAAATTTGAGACCTAATTTTTAATATTCTGGCTTATTAAGGAGAATGAAGGATTATAATATATAAAAGAAGATGTCAACAAGAATGCTAAAAGAGGAGTATTTTGAGAGAGGGAGAACCAAGTCAAGATGAAAAAGGGTGAAAACCCATCATGGGAGAATGAGTAGTACAAATTCAGTCATAGGAGGTATAACACAGACCTAAGGCTGAAGAGAATGCAGTGTTCTATGTCCTAAGGAATAATAGAATTTAAAGATGTCAAAGAATATCAGAGTTATTGTTACTGACCCAGAAGGAGGAGATGTGTGATGTGTGTGGTCATTTCCTCCTCAGATTTAGAAATGCTTCTGATATGGGTAACTGAGAGGTAAGTGCACTATCAAGCCCACCAATCGCTATATATCTCCTAGTTTAGACTAATAAATAGTAGGCATTATTACAGACAGGTAATTTTGTGAGTTCTTTACCTGGGATTGAGAAGTGTTCGTGAGTGCCGTTCAATACTTGTTTAGCCAATTGAGTGCCACATATCAATTTTGTGACCTATTTAGGTCTTAATTTTTTCAAATGCAAAATGGGTTTAATATTAATACCTATCTTGTCAGTTCTTGAGGGAAATAAATGAATTGAAATAATTGGTGGTTACATATATGATCCTACATGAACATGTTTATAAACAGTGCTCTTGGGAGGTTGTCCAAGATGTTAGCATAGGAAGATTCTGAAATCACCTCTTTCCACAGACACACTGAATCTACACTTTGTATACAGCAATTTCTTCTGAAGAACTAATCACTGAATATCTAGCTTTAGCACAACAAACAATAGAGGGACCACATAGAGAAAGGTAGGAGAGACAAAAACAGATGATGGGAACACCACCAGGGATGTGACAACTTGCCCATCCTAGGGCATACCCAGGAAAAAAAAATAGTTTAGTGAAGGAAATCCATCCACCAGGTAGGAAACTGTCTCAACTCTCTCTAAAGGCACAGAGAATGGGCGTTTTTTTAAATAAAATTTATTTTCCACCTCCATTTTGATAATGTGGATAGGAACAGGATCTAAGTGCTGTAGCTGGACTACTAGGTCCACCCCAGTGAACCCCAAGCCCCTAGACCACACCTCTAGCCAATCTGCTGGGGCCACCATAGTACTCCATGGGACCACCCCTGGCCCATACTGAGTCCAGGTCCAGCCAGCCAGTCAAATCTTCCAGACACACACAGTTTACACAGAGGATTCCCCTAAGTCCACTTGTTAAAGATTAGGAGAGGTAGATGTTCTTCCTAATTCATAGAAACATAGAAATTTGAAGAAAATTAGGATACAGAGGAATATGTTCCAAATGAAAGAATAACATAAAACCATGGCGGGGTGGGGGGGGGACCAAACAGAGGTAATTAATTTACCTAATAAAGAGTTTGAAGTAATGGTTATACCTATACCATAAAACCATAAAAATCCAAGAAAACACAGGCAGTAATTTCTCTGACATCAGCCATAGCAACCTTATTCTAGATACATCTCCTAAGGCAAGGGAAACAAAAGCAAAAATAAACCTATTGGAACTCGATCAAAATAGAAAGCCTCTAAGGAAACTATCAACAAAATAAAAAGCCAACCTACTAAATGAAAGAAGATATATGCAAAAGATATATCCAATAAGGGGTTAATACCCAAAATATATAAAGAATACCTCCCAACACCAAAAAAATCTGATTAGAAAATGGGCAGAAAACCTGATTAGACATTTTTTCAAAGAAGATATACAGATGAACGCCTCATTCATTGTTGGGAATGTAAATTGGTACAGCTACTGTAGAGAACATTATGGAGGTTCCTCAAAAAGTTAGAAATAGCATATGATACAATAATTCCACTATTGGGTGTATACCCAAGAAAAAAAAACACTAACTCAAAAAAAAAAAACACTAACTCAAAAAGATATATGCACCCCTATGTTTATTGCAGCAATATTTATAATAGCTGAGAAGTGAAAGCAACTTAAGTGTCCATCAATATATATATATATAAGAAAAATGGTATATATATATATATGTATGTATATATTACATACATATATATATATATGTAATATTACACAGCCATAAAAAGGATGGCATCATGCCATTTGAGACAACATGGATGGACCAAGAGAGTATTATGCTAAGTGAAACAAATCCAACTGAGAAAGACAAATACCATAGGATTCCACTCATAAATGGAATCTCAAAAAAAAATAAAATGAACAAAAAGCAGAATCAACTATAAATACCGAGAACAAACTGTTGCCAGAGGGGAAGGGGTTGGGGGTAAAAAAAAATGAGTGAAGGGGAGAGAGACACAGGCCTCCAGTTACTAAGTCATGAGAATAAAAAAAGAACATAAGGAATACAGTCAATGATATTGTAATAAGGATGTAACGGGGACAGATGGTAAAAAAAAATGTGGGGAGCTGGAAACTAATGTAACATAGTGTGTCAATTATACTCGAATGAAAAAAAATAATGGTCATAAAGATGCTTACTGAACTTGGGAGAAAAATGGACAAACCCACTGAGAACTTCAACAAAGAGTTAAAAAATGTAAGAAAGAACTAATCAGAGTAGAAGAATACAATAAATGGAATGAAAATACACTGGAGGGAATCAACAAAATAAAAAGATATATGACAACAAAAACAAATTAGGGGGAGTAAGAATGTAGTGCTTTTAGAATACAGTCAGACTTAAGCAACTATCAGCTTAAAATATACTGCTACATATAAAGGTCAATATATATGAACCTAATGATAACCACAGCCAAATCTACAATACCTAAAAAATAAAAAGCAAATATAACACCAAAGAAAAACATCAAATCACAAGGGAAGAGTCCAAGAGAAGAAAGGACAATAGAAGAACTATAAAAACAACTGGAAAATGACAAAATGTCAATAAGTACATATCTGTTAATAATTACTTTAAATGTAAATGGACTAAATGTTCCAATCAAAAGACAGAGTGCCTAAATGGATAAAAACAAGACCCATCCATTTGCTACCTAACAGAGACTTCAGATTTAAAAAACAGACTGAAAGTGAAAAGATAGAAAAAAAATATTCCATGCAAATTGAAACAAAAAGAAAACTGGGGTAAAAATACTTCTATCAGAAAAAATAGACTATAAAACAAAACTTCATAAAAAATAGGAAATGACGTAATGAAAAAAGGGGTCCAAGAAGAGGACAAAACATGTGTAAATATTTATGTACCCAAAATAAAACCTAATTATAATAGAACAAATGTTAATAAAGGGAGAAATGGATGGTAATACAATAGTAGTAAGAGATGGACTATAATACCCCACTTAAATCAATGGGATAGACCGTCCACACCAAAAATCACTAAGGATGCCATAGCCTTAAATGACACATTAGACCAGATAGACTTAATCTATAGAACATTTCATCCCCAAACTGCAAAATACACATTCTTTTCAATGCATATGGAACATTCTGCAAGATTGATCACACGTTAGCATGCAAAACAAGTCTCAATAAATTCAAGAAGACTGAAATCATATCAAGCATCTTTTCCAACAACAGTATGAAATAATCAATTATAAGAAAACTGGGAAAAACACAACATGTAAATAACATATTACTAAACAACCAATAGTTTGATGAAGAAATCAAAGAAGGAAATTAAAAAATGTCTTGAGACGAATGAAAATGGAAGGACTCTGGGATGCAGCAAAAGCAGTTCTAAGAAGGAATTGCACAGCAATACAAGCCTAATTGAAGAAATAAGAAATATCTGAAAAAAAAAAAAAAACCACTCCAACTTTATACCTAAAGGAATTAGTAAAAGAAAAAGGCCAATGTTAGGAGGAGGAGAAAATGAAAAGATTAGAGCAGAAACAAATGAAATACAGACTAACATAGCAATAGAAAAGATCCATGAAACTAAAAAAAAGTTCTTTGAAAGAAGAAATTTGACAAACCTTTAGCCAGATATATCAAGGGGGAAAAAAAGAACCCAAATGAATAAAATTTGGAAAAAGTTCCAACTTATATCACAGAAATACAAAAGATCATAAGAGACTACTATAATTATAAGCCAACAAATTGGTAAATCTAGAAGAAATGGACAAATTACTAGAAACACACAACCTTCTAAGACTGAATTACATAAATAGAAAATTTGAATAAATTACAAGTAATGAAATTAAATCAGTAATTTAAAAACTCTGTCCAAAAAGTCCAAATTGAAATCATATATCAAGGACCTTTTTTGACCACAATGATAAACTAGAAATAAATTATAAGAAAAAAATCTAGAAATAACACACATACATGACACCTAAGCAACATGCTACTAAACAATGAAAGGGTCAACCAAAAAATCAAAGAGAAAATTTAAAATGCATGCAGACAAATGAAAATGAAAACACAATGGTACAAAATCTTCAGGATGCAGCAAAAGCAATTCTAAGAGATAAATTTATAGCAATACAGGCCTACCTCAAAAAGCAAGAAAATTTTGAGATAACCTAACTTGCACCTAAAACAGAAAAAAAAAAAAAAGAATGAATAAAGCCTAAAGCTAGTAGAAGGAAGAAAATAATAAAAATTAGAGCAGAAATAAATGAAAGAGACTAAAAAAAATAGAGAGAGAAGGTCAATGAGACCAGGAGCTGGTTCTTTAAAATGATCAACAAAACTGATAAGACTTTAGCCAGACACAAGAAAAAATAGGACCCAAATAAATAAATAAAATCAGAAGTAAAGGAGGGAAGAATGCAGGCGGGTGGCAACAGGGAGCTGGAGGCCGAGAATTATTTGGAAAAACATCGGATTATGGAGTTGCCGAACTATCTCACCAGTGCCCTGCTTGTTTTCCAGCCAGGAAAGCCAAGAGAGTATTTAATATCTATATTCGAACGACTGATAATTGCCAAAATAACAGGCATGGCTTTTCCTTTCTTTATGGATCACTCTAACATTGTGTCTATGTTTGAGATGATGGACACTTCAAATAAAGGCACTATATCATTTGTGCAGTACAAAGAAGGCCTAAAAACCCTGGGTCTGTTGAATGAAGATGAAGTTTTAAAAGATGATGGACATGTAATAACTTTGGAAAAATTCAGATCTGAAGTGAACAAGAGGACAGAGAAAATATGGTCAGCATTTTAATAACACCATAAGTCCAAGCTAATAAATGATTCTATAAAGTTAAAAAAAAGAAGTAAAGTAGGGGAAAAAAACTGATGTCACAGAAATAAAAGGATTATAAGAGAATCTTATGAAAAATTATATGACAACAAATTGGAAAACCTAGAAGAAATGGACAAATTCCTAGAAACATATAACCTACCAAAACTGAAGCAGGAAGAAATATAAAATGTGAACAGACCAGTTGCTAGCAATGAAGTTTAATTGGTAATCAAAAAACTCCCAACAAATAAGGGTCTGCAACCAGATGCCTGCAAAGGTGAATTCCACCCCACACATTTAAAGAAGAGCTAATATGTATTCTTTTCTATTTATTTCAAAAGAAAAAAATAGAAGAGGAAGGAAAGCTTTCAAATTCATTCTGTGAGAGCAGAATTACCCTGATAACAAAACCAGATAAAGAAAACACTACAAAAAAAGGAAACTGCAGGTCAAAATCTCTGATAAACATAAATACAAAAATCTTCAACAAAATATCAACAAACCGAATGCAATAATACATTTTAAAAAATCATTCACCATGATCAAGTGGGATTTATTCCCAGGATGCAAGTGTGGTTTAATATTTGCAAATCAATCAACATGATAAATTATATTAACAGAGAGGATAAAAACAAAAACCACATGATCATCTCAATAGATTCAGGAAAGAGCATTTGACAAAGCACAATATCCATTCAGGATAAAAACTCTCAACACAGTAGGTTTAGAAGGAACATACCTCAACATAATAAAGGTCATGTATGAAAAATCCACAGCTAACATTATACTCAATGGTGAAAAACAGCTTTTCCCCTCAGATGAGGAAAAAGACAAGGATGTGCACTCTCACCACATTTATTCAACAGAATATTGGAAGTCCTGGCCATAACAGACAAGAAAAATAAAAGTTATCCAAATTGGTAAAGAAGAGGTAAAACTGGCGCTATTTGCAAATAACATGATACTAAAATCCTAAAGACACCACCAAAAAGTTTTTAGAACTGATAAATGAATGTAGTAAAGTTGCAGTATACAGAATCAATGTACATAAATCTGTTGCATTTCTATACATAAATAATGAAGTAGCAGAAAGAGAAATTAAAAACATTTACAACTGCACCAAAAACAATAAAATAGCTGGGAATAAACTCAACCAAGGTGAAAGGCCTATACTCTGAAAACATTAAGACATCGTTGAAAGAAACTGAAGATGACACAAATGGAAAGCTATACTATGCTCACGGATTGGAATTCATATTGTCAAATGTTCATACAATCCAAAGTAATGTATAGATTCAGTGCAGCCCCTATCAAAATACCAATGGTATTATTCACAGAATTGGAACATATAATCCTAAAATTTATACAGAACCATAAAAGACCCCAGATAGGAGAATCAACCTTGGGAAAAAAGGAAAAAAACCTGGAGTTACCATGTTTGATTTCACATTATTCTACAAAGATATAGTAATCAAAACAGTATGATTCTTATATGAAACTCAACACACAGATAAATGGAACAGAACAAAAAGCCTAGAAAGAAACCCACACATATATGATCAATCAACATTTGGCAAATCAGGCAAGAATATACAATGGGGAAAAGACAGTCTCTTCATCAAATTCTATTGAGAAAACTGGACAGTTACATGTGAAAGAATATAAGTGGTTACTATCTTACACCACATGTAAAAATAAGTTCAAAATTATTTAAACACCTAAATGTAAGACTTGAAACCATAAAGGCAAAAGCTAAAATAAACAAATGGGATTACATCAAACTAAAAAGCTTTGCACAGTGAAGGAAACCATAAAACAAAAAGACAACATCCTGAATGGGGGAAGATATTTGCAACTCATACATCAGATAAGGAGTTGATATCCAAAATAAAGAACTTATACAACTTAATATAAAAAAAACTGATTAGAAATGGGCAGAGGATTTGAATAGACATTTTTTCCAAATAAGACAAGAGGCATATAAAAAGATTCTCAAAATCACTAGTCATCAGAGAAATACAAATCAAAACCATAATGAGATGTCACCTGACACATACATGTCAGATTGGCTTTTATTAAAAAGGCAAAATATAACTGTTGGCTAGGTGTAGAGAAAAGGAAAACCTCATGCACTGTTGGTGGGAATATAAATTGGTGAAACCATTATGGAAAACAATATGGAGATCCCCCCCCCCCCAATTAAAAATAGAACTACCATACAATCTAGCAATTCCACTTCTGGGCATTTATCTGAAGAAAACAAAAATACCTATTCAAATAGATATATGCACCTTTTGTTCATTGTAGCCTTATTTACAATAGCTAAGTGTCTATTGATAGATTATTGAATAAAGATGTTGTATTTATATAAAATAGAATATTACTCAGCCATAAAATAGAATGAAATCTTATTATTTGTGACAACATGGATGGACCCAGGTGATATTATGCTAAGTGAAATAAGACAAATACTGGATGATTTCACTTATATGTAGAATCTAAAAAGCAAAACAAAACAGAAAATGACTCATAGATATTGGAAACTGTTGGTTTACCAGAAGGGGAAGGGATTAGAGAGTGGTTGAAATAGGTAAAGGGGATTATGAGGTATAAACTTCCAGTTATAAAATAATTAAGTCGTGGGGATGTAACAAAGTATAAGAAACAGAGTCAATAATATTGTAATAACTTTGTATAGTTACATATGATAAGCAGGCTTATCTTGGGAATTTTTTGTAACATATAAAAATAACAAATCACTATGATGTACACTTGAAACTCATATTTTATGTCAATTAGCCTTCAATAAAAACATAAAAACTAGAAAGTAAAAAATTTGCTCCTGATATCCTCTATCCCTGCCTCAGGGAACCAGCTTCTCCTATAGTCTTGGTTATCACTGTTGGTGGGCTATCAACTCCTCTCCTTGTTGTTCAGGAGAAGGCACACAAAATTAGCAGCAGCAACCACCACCCCAACAAAACAAAAATAGAATTGAAGCTCTACCTTCTAAATACATCTAGAATTTAACCAGTGGTATGGTTCTGGTCCAAACCATTATTATAATCTTTTCCCAGTTTTTCTGTAAATCTCCATATTTCCCTGCTTATGCTTTTGACTGCATGATATTTGACCTCAATGGAGCAGCCAAAATGATTCTGTTAAAAGGTGTTAAATCATGTCACTGTATTCAGCCATCTCGGTGGTTTGCCATATTTAATTCAATAAAGGGTAAGGTTTTGTTGCCACTCCACCTTTTTTTCCTGGTATTCTCTTTTCTATCTTTTCTTCCCCAGCCACTCTGGCCTTCTTTGCTGTTCACTGAATAAGCTGGGCAGCTTGCCTCAAGGCCTTTAATACACAAGCCCCCCGCCTAGAATTTCCTTCCCCATATACCTGTAAGGCTAATTCCCTCACTACCTTTAGGTAGTTACTCAGTAGTTACTTTCTAGATGAGGTTTCCTGGTCTACCTATCTAAAATTTAAAGCTTGCTCCCCCATTATTAAATGCTATAAATCCTGTTCTTGATTAACTTTCCCTCTTTATTACTTATAATACTAACAATAACACTGCATTTAACTTATTGTCTCTTCCCTACAAAAATGAAGGCAGGTACTTTTATTTTCTGTTTCCATTACTATATCCTCTGAGAAGACGGGTGCTGACAAATATTAAATGCTCAATAAATATTTGTTGAGTTGGCTGGGAAGATGGCAGAGTAGGAGGACCCTAAGCTCACCTCATCCCATGGATCCAACTAGATAACACTCACATTGGAGTAATTATCCAGAAAATGACCTAAAAACTGACAGAAGAAACTCCACAACTAAAAGTAGAAAAGAGGCCACAGAAGAGGACAGGAAGGGTGGGGACATGGTGGACAGCTAAATGCTCCCATGAGCCATCCACAGGAGGGAGGAAGCTATGAGCATGGAGAGGGGCGAGAAATAGATTATCACACTGGGGAACCTACATGGGGAAGAGGAAACCCCATAACATTGGGCTTTGAAAACCAGAGGCACCAAATTTTGTGAGTTCTTACAACCAGAGAAATTTAAAACCTGGATTTTAAAAATCAGCAGGCTTAGCTCTGGGAGAGCCCAGAGGGCAATAAGAAGCTGAGTCCCCACCCTTAAATAGCACAACAAACAGCCCACAGACATACAGCATAGAAGCAGCCCTTTGAAAATGCCTAGGACATATGGAGAGAGAGAGTTATTTACTTATCTCAGAGTGTGTCACAGATGGACAGAGTTCACAGGGAGACTCTTCCAGGAACAAAGGAGCTATAAGGTGCCATTTGCTCTCCTGCCCCAGCATAAACACAGGGCCACTTGCAGGAGCCAACACAGTGCCAGTGTTCACTACCTAACTTGCTTACACCAAGCTCTGCTCCAGGTCTGCTTTTTGGTGGATCCACCATTTCCAGCCATTCTTGCCTCAGTCCTCACAATGGAATTTCACCCACCACCAGAAGACCAGCACAAACCTTGCCCAAACCACCTCTGCCCACCTGCATGCTTTAAGGGGTTTGGGTCCTGTTAGCAACTGCAGGCCAAATCCTGCAGAAGACCAGCACATACCTTGTTAAAATTACACACCCCACCCCACACACTTTGCAGATCCACTCCTGGCCCCAGTCAAGGCAGCAGTACTGGCAGCTCTCATTTTGCAAGCTGATTGGCTCACCTTGTTAAAACTCCACACCCAACCCTGGCAGGCATGGTCCTAGCAATGGAGTTACATCCCCTCCAATACACTCTTGGCCAGAGCCCATTCAAACCAGGGCCACAAGCTTGGCAATGTGCAAGCAGCCCCAGTAGGAGCCAGAATTACTCCAAAGTGACTCCTGCCTGGGGTTAGGGGAAGATAACTACATATGACAGAAGGCTGCCCCAGCGGGGGTCTGGGGGCACACCATGGGTCTGACTGCAGGCCTCACCCACCAATGAAAACTTCTCAGGGGACAACATGGAAAGTGCCCTGCAATTTGGTGCTACTGCATCTCTGGCAAATGCC